AAACAAGCAGAATTAGAAGAAAAGAAGAAAAACAAAGTGCGGAAGAAAAAAGAGTAAGCTAAAAAAGACAATTCTAAAATAAAAAAATGTACAGTAAAAATCAGTAAGAGGAAAGTGAATAAAAAGCAAAGTACTGTTAGAGCTTCTTTCCATGCCTCTCTACTGCTGGACTCTATCAGGTCTGGGAGTGGTAGTACATCACAGCTGAGTCTACTCCAGTTTCTCTCTGCTACTGATTACTGGTGGATACTGTATATGGACTGGAGGCTTGGTGGTCAAGAATATGTTATCAGCTTTTCACTTCAGAGGTTTCCTTTCTTTCAGTAGTAGGAACCACTTCTGACTCCAAAGAACTTTATGGTCTGTGGACACAAAGAGATGCTTGTTCCAGAGCCTGTCCCTCTCCCCCAAGTTTGTGCCTTTAGTGCTGGCAAATATCCAAGCTAAAGAGTATCACTTGGGTGTGTTGGAGAGTGGACCTGCACATAGAGTACTGAGTTCTGCACTGGAGGCAGAGAACTGAGGGACACAGGCATTCTGTTTGCTGATCTTAGTACGTTCAGATGAGCAGTGAACCACTGCAAGAGAGAGAAAACTGGAGAAAGTCAGTGATATATCAGAGTTGTGTCCAGAGCTCTCAGGTCTGTTTGGCAGCAAACCTAATGCAGCAGGGAGGTAGCTCTGAAGCCTGAGCAATCCGTCACAGCCAAGAGATTGGAGCATTTAGTCTCCACAGCAATCTATAAGTGATGTGGCTTGCTTCTTGCCACTGACGGAAGGGCCACTGACCATCCTGTCCACAGTCTGAGCTCACTGCTACTTAAATTTCTCCGAGTGTCTGCATTCGACCCTTCTCACCTCCATGACTATTTCTTGTGGTCATTTTCCACCTAGGAACTGTGGCAGGGTATCTCCTGGCCACCTCATTTGTGACTTTTTCTTGTTTTCAGGTCCCCAGTGTAGCTCAATCTCAAGTAATAGGCCCCTTGTTAAAGTAGTTTCTGGCTGTAACACTCTAAGATATGAGGTTGGAGAAAATGGATTTCTACCCCAGTGCCAGCCTGCCATGCAGCAGGTGTCATTATCAGGCCAATTTCCTAGACTATACTTAAGTCTTATGAGAACTGTGAGTTTCTCCCATGGTTAGGACTTCCAGTCTGTTGTTACCAGAGCTACCTGGTGGCTATGACTTCTAGTTCCTCTTCTTTCTAGGGAGCCAAGGTTGGAGTTGTGGAGTGTTTCCTACTTTTCTCTGGATTATCTTTCTGTTGCTCCTTTCTTTTTTAGCTGTCCCATCACCTTTTTTTTTTTATTTGCTTATTTTCTTTTTTTTTTATTGTTGTGCTGGGGGTACATTGTGGCATTTACAAAAGTTCTTTATAATATATCAAACATATTATACTTGAATTCATCCCTCCATCATTCTCCTTTATCCCCTCTTCCTCCATTACTGGAATAGTTTCTGCAGGTCTCATGTGTACACAGTATTTGTACCATATTTATCCTCCTTCACCATTTCACCACATCCTCCTCCCTCCCACTGGTACCAGCCTCCCAAACAGGACCTGTTTTGCCCACCCTGTTCTTTGATTTTGTAAAAGAAAAAAAAAATGACATTTTTATTTAAGATAGCTATACAGGGAGTTTCTTTGTGACAATCCATGTATATATGTATTATAATCAATTTGATTTTTCTCCTCTATTTTTCTCCTTTCTACCTTAGTTCCTTTCTTATGGTGATTTTAACAGGTTTAAAATTTGTATATTCATTCTTGTATAGGCAGTACATCAACCATACTCACCTTCTTAAATTCCTTCTTTTACCCTCCCTCTCTCATATGTGACCTCCCCTTAGAGTGACCTGTTTTTCATAATATTGCTTGTATTTGTATTAGATCTGTATTCCACATATAAGAGAAAACATGTGGCCTTTGGCTTTCTGAACATGCCTAATTTCACTTAAGGTGATGTTCTCCAGTTCCATACATTTATCTGCAAATAACAAAATTTCATTCTTCTTTATGGCTGAATAAAATTCCATTGTATATAAATACCACATTTTCTTAATCCATTCATTAGTAGTGGGGCATCTTGGCTATTTCCATAGCTTAGCTATTATGAACAATGCTGCAATAAACATGGGTGTGCACGCCATCACCTTTTCTTGATTCCCAATGCACTTCTTCTCTTTCTCTCCTTGGAATATCATCTCTCCTTTTTACCCTGACTCTTCTCATTCACTTTGTTGAGTAGAGGAATTCTCTAATCTGCCTTCTGACCCTGGAAAAATGGAGGACTGTCAATTAGATACTTTTTAGACCAGAATCTTGGAAAAAAAAAATCTGATCCATTCAAGCTTTTTGAACTATTAGAAGAAAAAAATTAGGGTAAAAGAGCTTCTTTGAAAACTGCTTCAAGGAATTCTGATTGTTAGTAGAGAAAAAGTTACTAACTTGGGATGCCTCAACCAATAGATGAATGAATTTATTATACTATCTAATTTATTCAATTGAGAACTTTTTTTTGATTCTTTTTATGGAGATGAGAGTAAGGTACAATCTCTCTAAGGCATTAGAATTCCTAAACTTCTTGCCTCTTTGCAAAATCTACTAGTGAAACATTTTACTGCTTTGAGAATTTGTCATCAAAAATAGTAGAAATAAAAATAGATTTATCTTGTTCAATTCTATTTTAGCTAAATTTGCTAGTGGATTTGAGTCTAGAATTAAAAGTAGATGGAGGATTGTCTTTGCTTTATGTACTCAAGGTTACTGCTCTTAGGTATGTATGTGAAGTTCAGTCGCACATTAAAGAGAAAAGGCAAGTAAGTAGGAGATACGTATTTGGAGTAAGAACTAAGGAATGAGAGTTTGTCCTAATTCCTAGAGCAAAATTGCCCTAGATCATCTGTTCCAGGCTTTCTCAGTTCTTTTGCACTTACTTCTTAGAAGGATGGCTATTCAGTATAAGATAGTTTGCCTCAGTGTTCACAGTTACCCAGTCAGGGAAACTTCTGAATAGGAGCACAACTGCATAAACTGCATGGTGCAGGTGCCAGAGTAGTGAACAGAAGAAGAAAAGTAGTTAGTCCTGTACTTTATGAGGCAAGAATGAGTGGGAAGAGGAGAGCAGGTAAGAAAAAAGATTAACAAAGAGTTTTCTTCTAAGATCAAGTAGACCCAGAACATTATATCTATTAAGGAACATGTTAAAAAGTAACAGGCAAAGCTGTCGTAGTACCTTCATTCAGGCTAGCATTAACTCTCTCTTGCTAGTTTATATCCTGTGTTTAGAGTTTGCTTGTTTCTTTCCTACCCTGAACTCAATCATGAAAGCAGCAACACTCTAGAGATAGGCCACTATTAGATCCACTTTGACCTCTTCATTGCTCCTCAAATGTAGAGTCTTTACTCTCTTTCCTGGAATATCTGATAGTATCAGCTTTGGAAGGAACATTGGACGTACTTCCTGGTATAAAGTAAATGACAAGAAAAAGCATAGATTTATGTTTCGAAATCTTTATAAATAATATAGGCGACAACTTTATGAAAATTGCTTGGACTTTTGCTATAAAGTGAAATAGATTAGTTAAGTATAATGATAGAGGGAAGTAATCTCTTATAGAAGACAATAAATTTATTGGGTTAATTATATTTCAGATCAAGGATTTGGGGGTCTTACATTTTATAAAAATTGTATGTTTGAGGAAATGCATTTAGGAAAGAGGATTCACAAACTTTTTAAAAATTTTTAAACTTTAAAAAGTTATAACACGCTTATAGAAATGTTAACAGTATATAGAGGAATTAAAGTTTTACACTCGAAGATGGATGAGCAAACTTAAAAAACCTATTGTATCAGCTTCATAATTTTGAGATTTTTTTTTTACTTGGAGGTTTTGCTTTTATGTTATGATTTCTCTATTAGTCTTTTGAAAAATCTCACCTGTTAGATCACTTTGCTCATGTTAGCAGCAAATATATTTATGAGTTCCATATGTAAGTCAGTTACCAGAGCTTCATGTCTATTAAATCGCAGTTAAGTTGGGATGTTTATCATTAAGCAGGTTCTTGACTATCAGAGGAATACTGTTATCAGTACTGTACTACTCTTTGTGTTATACCACTTAGATATAGTATGCTGTCTCACAGTTTTAATAAATTTCATTTTTAACTTTATTTAATACATATTTCCTTGACTTAAAATTTTAAAGTTATCTGCCATACCTTGAGGACATTGCTTCTGTTATCACACTATCATTGTCTTGACATTGAACAATCTACTTTTTTTGGTCTGTAATTTTACTTCTTTACTTTGTATACTACTGTTCCTTTTGCCTCACATTAGAAATAGATACTAGGTAATAGTAAATGAAAGTAGTTAACCTTAATGGATTCCCAATGAAATATTCCTGATTTTTCTTTTTTTTGCACTTTTTAATGTGTGTGTGTGTATATACACACACACATATATGTGTATATTTCTTTTAAATGTATATATCATATTTCAAATACATATATCACTCTCAGTTAGGCTAATATGACTTATGTTCCTTTGTGTCCTTTCCTAGCACTGTACATATTTTTTCACTTTCTGCTATCTTTAGAATGATTTTTTGGTTTGGGTCAATTCCAGCAAAACTGACAGGGCTCATTTCAAGACCTTTCTTTTTCATGAATCTCTATGAGCTGAATATAGCTACCTTAAAATATTTTATTCTCCTTAGAAATTTAGCACTCTTTCTAGATGACACTAGCCAATAATACATATTACCTTTGTGATATCAGTTGTCATTTTATATTGACATTTGACTATATAACCTAGTTTTACTTGTATCTATATCTTGCTTCTTAGGCTATAAATAACCTGAAGGCAAATACTATGTCTATATTTAGTCCATGTATGTATGTGTATGTATGTGTGTATATTTATCACATAAATGTATACATATACACTAACTATAGTTTATTGATTATTAATACAATCTGCTTTTTAAACAGCTCTATAATGAGTTACATGTTTGTTTTGAAACCACGAAATCAAGTGAAGCTATGCTCCGGCAAAGTGTTGTCAATCTTCAGGATCAGCTATTTCAAAAAGAACAAGAAAATACAAAATTAAAAGAAAAACTTCAGGAATCACAAGGAGCACCTTATGCTTTACCTCAAGAAAGTGATTTAATCCACTTAACACAGGTGAGAAACATTTTCTACAAGTGTTATGCAGTTTAATACAAAACTAAACCACTTCCTATAATTGATTAAAATAGCTAAGCAAATTTGTATATTCTAGAATATAAATTGTGGTAGCTTTATGTTTTACTATTTTTAGTACTTTTTATAGACATGAATTATTTATGATACTAATTCCAATAGAAATGCATGTAGAAATACAGAATATAACAAGTTTAGTTGACCCTCTGTATCTGATGGTTTTAAATTATGAGTTCAGTCAACCATAGTTTGGAAATATTTGAAAAGAACTGCTTTTGTACTTAACATGCAAAATTCCTTTCTTATGATTATTTCCTAAGCAATACAGTATAACAACTATTTACATAGAGCTTACATTATATTAGGTATTATAAGTAATGAAGAGGTGATTTGAAGTATACAGGAATATACCCAAAGTTGATACACAACTATTGTACTATTTTGAATAAGGTACTTGAGCATTTGCAGATTTTGGTGTTTTATCCTCTCTGGATACTGAGGAACAGCTATATAGTTATCATGATGAATTATTTCATTATTGAAGAGCAAATTAATAGGTCATGGCCCTTTTGATACTCTCTAACTGAAGGAAAAATGAAGTGAAAAGAGTATCTCACAGTATGTTTTATAAAGTACCTCGCACAGTGCCTGTCAGATGATCTTTAACACCTATTAGTCTTATTCTGCCACTACGTTGACATACAATTTTCAACAGGTGATTTGACTTTTCTATTTCCTGTGGTAAATAACTTTAATAATTTTTTACCCAATTTATCTAGTTTCTTCATCAATAAAATTTGATATTAGTGGTATTGATGTCATAGACTTTTGAGGACTAATGATATAGCACCTATCAAACACAGGGCCTGTTTATTCAGTGTTTTCTTTTAGATAATTTGCAAGGTAACTTTCAGCTGAAATGACTTTTTAAAAACATTTCTGTTTCTGTGGACTTATTTGTGTTTTTAAGGTACTATTAGTAATTCTTTAAATTTTATAATTTATTAATTTAATTCAGAAATGGAATTAATACAACAGGTAATTGAGTGACTAAGTGTTTAACAGTAATTTTTAACCTTGCACATTTTCACTTGATAATAAGTCAGTCTTAAGACAACAGTATTTGAATTTGCATTGTATCATATTGTGGTTTTGTTGATTTCAGATGCTTGGAATTGGATTAATTATAAATTTACATTATGACGTACTATTTTATGTACAGATTAATTTAATTTAGTTACTTCATTCATTTATTATAATAAACATTCTTGTCCCACCAAGTCATCCAAGGACTAGAATATGATAGTAACTTAGATTTACTTATATGTTTCTCTCTAATCTTGTACCTTGATTCTTTAACCAGAGGTAACCCCCTTAAACTATTTATAGAAATGGTGTCTTAGTACGTATTGTTGGGATTGGGCCATTTTGACTCATCATTATGTTCCTAAGATTCATCTATGTTGTTTGAAGTATTTATTTCTGCTATTTAAAATATTATACTTTATGTAACTGTATCATAATTACTTGTTCATGCATTTCTAGATAAGTACCTTGGTTATTTCTACTCCCGTTAATAATACTGCAATTGGCATTTTTGTACATGATTCTTGGTACCACCTGTTTTGTGAGTTACATATTTAGGAGTGGAACTCCTGGTTTTTAGAGTATGAAAATGTTACTTTTACAAAATGCTGAAAATGTATTTTTCAAAGAGGTTTTATCAGTTTTACTCTTACTACAATGTATGAGAGATGCGGTTGTTTCTTATCATTCTGAGCACTTGTTTGTCAGACTTCTTAGTGTGTTGCCAACTGAATGAGTATAAAATAATATTTATTTTGGCCTTGAAGTACACATCACTAATAATGATACATCTTCAAATGATTATTATCCAGTGCCTGTCCTTTTCTGTGAAACATCTGTCTATGTCTTGTCTGTTCTTTCATTGTATTCTTCTCTCATTGACTTACAGTATTTTGTTATATATTCTTTTTTTTTCCCCCTGTGGTATTGGGGATTGGACAAGGCCTTGCTAGTGGCTCTACCACTTGAGCCATGCCCCAGTCCTGTTATATGTTCTTGATTTTAATCCCTGGTATGTTAAATGGGTGGCAGATAGTTTAGATATTTTCTTTTAGTGTCTACCTCATTCTTTATTTTCTTCGAAGTGTCATTTAATAAACAAAATTAATTTTTATCTTAATTTAGACAAAGTAATCTATAGTTAGTATTTTGGTATTTTACTTAACAAAGACAAAGCCCATGTCCTCTTCAGAAAGTTCTAAAGCTTTGTTTTTATCATTTATATTTAATTCTTCCAGAATTTTTTCTGTGTATGGTAAAGGATAAAGCTCCATTTTTACTTACTTATTTTTTCCCAAATAGTGACCTTTTTTTTTTTCTAGTTCAACTTATTGAAATGTCCCCTTTTATTCCAAGTAGTGCTGGGTCATCTCTCTCATATACAATAAGCTACCTTATATGAGGATTTATTTCATGTGGTTTTAACCAAATGCAACAAAAAAATTAAAAGAAATTTCAAAACAAAAAATTTTCAATTCCTGCATGTGCATTACCCAGCCCAGTCGATGTGGAGAAGCTCTCATTTGGTCCCACATTATTGTCAGTTGTGTTTAAATCATTGTGTTATCGACTGTTTCCCTGCCCTTAATTTTGTGGAAATATGCCTCTGCAAAAGCAAGTGGTGCCAAAAGACAAGGTAGAAGTTATGGCAATCCTCACAAGTCAAAAAGGGCACATAAGGTTCTTAACTGAAGTGATAAAGTAAAAATTTTAGATTTGTTGAAAGGCAGCATGTGGAAGTTGGGTGGTGGTTGCATAAAAACGAATCAATCATCCACATTACAGTACTAAAATCTGCCTCTAGAGCATTTGAGATTTTTCCTCAACAGCAGTCTCCTTGGAAACATATACCTGTGGATACTAATGGTCTCCTGTATCCTTGAATTCAGAATATTTGTGAGTTTTGTTCTGGGTTCTATATTCTTAGTTTTTCTACACAGCATTACATTGTTGTAACTAGTATGGATATATAATAAGTCTTTGTATCTGTCAGGTGTACTTCTGCCTCCTTATTCTACTTTAAAGTCTCCTAGGTATGTTGGCACATAGCTTTTAAATATAACTTTTAGGATAACTCATAAAGTTTCATGAGAAACACTGATGGAAATTTTTCATAGTTTTAGTGAATGTATCATAAACATATTAAATATATAAATCTCAAGTGTGTAATACATTGACATTTTACAAAGTTAACACATCAAGTCAAGATACAGAACTTACCAGTGGTCAAAAACTTTCATAATGTTCCTAAATCACTAGTTATTTCAACAAAGGTAGACATTTTTCTTACTTCTATAGCTATTCATCAGTTTTGTTTAACTATCATAGTATTTCATTATTAAGTACTGTGTCTCCTCAATTTTTTTGGTAAATATCCTTTGTCACATTATTGCAGTTCCTATCTGCTATGGTTGGAGCATTTGTGTCTCCTCTAGAATTCATTGAAATTTAATCCCAATGTATTAGCATTAAGAGGTTGGGCATTTTGGAGGTGAGTAGGCCATGAGGGCTCAGCTGCCATGGGTGAGACTGCTACCTTACAAATGGGCTGGAGGGAGCTATCTCAGCCTTTATTGCCCTTCCATGTTGGTTGCCATTAAAGACTGTTTTTATCCCTTTTGCCCTTTATTTCCTTGTGCAGCAAGAAGGCCCTCAACAGTCTCCAAATTCTGCTGTCTTCCCAGACTGCAGAATTACAAGAGAAAAAAATTCTGTCCTTTAGCAGTTTATCCAGTATCAGAGATTTTTTTTACAGCAACACAAACATACTAAGATACTATGTATTTATAGTTTGATGAGAGCTTTTTCATGAGTGAGTATTGAATGTATACAACGCTTTTTATGCATCTCTTAGCATAATACTAAAGCTTTTCTAGTAATAGTAAAGCTTGTCAATGTGGTGACGTATCAGTTGATTTTCAATTATAACTCTTTCTTGAATTCTTGAAATAAACCTAATGTTGTAATGTTTTATCATTTTCATATACTGCTAACTTCAGATTTGCTAATATTTTGCTCAGGGATATTGGGCTGAATGCTTTTTATCAGATTTTGGTATTAAGATGGTCTTGGCATTCTAATATGAATTGTAAAGTGTTCTGTTTCATTTTACTAGAAGAATTCATGTAAGAGTAGTATTATTTATTGCTTGATGAAAAACACTGAATGTTTTCCTTTCAAGGTTAGGAACAAGTCAAGGATGTTGTGTCTCACCACTGCTTTTGAACATTATATTGGAGATTCCATCTAGCACAATTAGGCAGGAAACAAAATCATACCAATTAGAAATAAGTAAGTAAATTTTTTTTATTCACAGATACCATGGCATTTGTTCCATCCAATGATGGAACTTAAAGACGACTTACATTAAATGGACAGCTGTTCCAAATTCATTAATCCAAAGATGCAATATTGTTAAGAAGACCAATTCTCTCTAAATTGATCTGTCATATAATCACAAACTCTCAGGAGACTAGTTTTCTTTAAAAGCCAGTTCTAAAATTTATTAAGGAACTGCAAAGAACTTAGAAGAGCAAAATCAAGTTTCAAAGAGAGCAAACTTGTAAGACTTTACACTGCTTATTTTGAGATTTATTTATCAAGCTAAAAATATCAAGGCAGTGTGGTATTAGCATAACAATGGACAAAGTAGCCAATAAGTTATAATAGAGTCCAAAAATATGCCCAGTCATATATGTAGCTTTTGAAATGAGGGTAGAAGTACCAGTCACTTTATTCTTTTTCAGGAAAATTGTATATTCTTGATAATTTGCTTTTTTGTAGAAATTTTAGTGTAAGCTTGTCAATTTTTCATGAACAAGGAATCAATTAGAAGTGTTTCTTGTTTCCCTTTTGATTTTTTGTTTGCATGTTTGGTTACTTAGAAGTGTATTATT